CTCTACAGGGCAGCCATACACAGCCCTGCCCTTCATTCTGCCCAATGGCAAAGATGCCACCCTCCTGAGTCACCCCCGACCAGCAGCACAGACCACCACCTGGAACCAGCCCAGATCTTACCTCTGGAGTGTGTTCTCTGATTGGTCTTGACCCCTGATCCCCCACCCTGTGCAGCCGGCCAGAGTTACTGCTGCAGTGTACCTGAACTCCCAGGAACAGGCCGACCTGGCTCCTCAGACGCAGGCCAGGTCTGCCTCTCTCAAGGGCTCCTAACTTGGGCGTGGGGCGATGGGGGTGGGGTGGGGCTAAGCAGCACCACATACCAAAGCCGATGAGGCCCAGCGTCTCCCCGCGGATGCGGGCCGCTCCCGAGGCCACCTCGCGGATCTGCTCCACGCTCTGCACCCGCGTGCCTTCCCGTAGCGCCTGGTACAGCCACGTGTTCCGCCGGTACAGGTTGAGGATGTGGCAGATGGTGGAATCGGCGGTCTCCTCCACGGCTGCGGACGGGATGTTACACACAGCGATCCCTGAGGGAGACGAGAGTGAGGCCCGAGATGGGAAACCCCCAGTTCTGCAGGGAAGCCCCGCTTCATCGCCTAGGGGCACGGGGCTTGGGCAGGGGGTCAGCAGGCCCCTGGCTCTGAGGCTCAGCAGTCTTTAGCCCCACATCTACCCCATGAGAACTTTGGGGCCAGAACCTGGTTCACAACCAGCCCCCCTCCTGGTGGCCTGAGCCTGGGCATGAGCTGCTTCCTCTCAGGCCGGCCCTGAGTCCCAAGGGAGGGCCGGAGCAGCAGGAGGCCAGTGGCACCTCAGTCCCAGGCAGACAGGGCTGGGGGAACAGGGGCAGAGGACCAGACTCCTCAAAGGGGATCCTACTCAGGCCGACAGCCCCAGGGTCCTCCTGGGGGGGTGGGGGCTGAGCTAACAGAGACTGACTTTTTAATGGTATTTTAAGAGTGTAATACAAACAACATACTTATTAGCTGTTTAAAAAAACACCTCCACCCCAACATGGATACCAGGGCTGGAATGGGCCGGAACAGATGTCCGAATCCAGCCACGTGTTTATTCTGGGCTCCCTGACCACCATCCTGCTCTGGTGCAAAGAACACCGAGCAGACAGGACACCCTCCTCCCCGCTCTTTAGAAGAGGCTTTAGGGCAGGGGGCAGCTTGAGCGGGTGGAGGACACAGATGAGGGCCGAGAATCTCAGCACGAGGTGGCCCGGGGCCGAGGGAACTAACCCCATCTCAGGCAGGAGGGGCCTGGGCATTTGCCTTCCCTGGTCAGAGGGGGTTTTGAGGGCGACTGTGAATGGCTGCAGACGTGGCAGGGGTGTGGGGGAGGGCCAGGCCAGACCCCTACTTGTAGCAAGGGCTAGGGCATAGCAGAGAGCAGAGGAGCCTCACCAGGGACGGGAGCCCCTAGAGTGGGCTCAGAGCCAGCCTGGGGTCTGCCAGCCAAGAGGCTATGGAGGGGCACAGGTCTCTGGGCATCAAGTTGGTCCGAGTCAGATGGCTCCCTCTTGATCCCAGCTCTGGGACCCCAGGAGAGCAGCACTCCCCAGGAGGGACTCCCATGCAGCTGGCAGGGCCCCCTTTCAGGCAGCCCTGGCTGCATCTACCTTCTCAAGCTGGGGGCGGTGACAAGAGCACCAGGGCAGACATGGCTCCACTGACAGGAAATGGGACCGATAGAGCCGCGACGGCCCTTTTCAGCAGTTGTGTTGCTGCCACCTCCTGAGGGCTGCCCCAGGGTCCTGATGAGCGACCCCCTCAGGAAGGCAGCTCAGAGGGGGTAAAGCCCCCGTGCACAGGACATCCTGCCCACCCCATCTGGGCCACAGACACCTGCCAAGGGACCAAGTGTTCGATTGCAATCTAGGCTGACCGACTTTCCCACGAGCTGGAAGTCAGTAACCTTGCAGAACAGGAACTTAGTTCATTTGAAACTACTCAGCACAGAACTTTGGGTTTGATCATGAGCTATGTTATCATAAGAGTCTGAAGAGACTGAGGCAGATGCCAGAGGTTTAGGAAAACCTTCAGCGTGGGTACAGTTTTCACTGCTCTTAGGGGTCCAAGCCCAGCGCACCTGCCCCCGGGGACATGAGCTGCTTTTCCTCTCGTAGTCAGTGCCGGGATTCTTTGTGGCAACCGTTGGAAACTGCCCCTGGATGGGACACCAGAGCATGGCATGCAGAGCCAGCGCACACGGGCGCTCGGATGGCCTGGCCCCGGCCCCGGCCCCTCCAGCCACCTCCCACCCGCCCTGCTGCGTCCCGGCTCCTGGGGGTATTCCTGGGGGGGCTGTAGACAGCAAAGCCCCAGGTACTGTCCTCTTCAGCGGGTCGGGGAGGTCTCCGAGGCTCTCCCTGCTCTAATGTGAAGCGGCCGCTCTTGCCTGTGCTTCCAGGGCTGGCAGCTCAGGGCCGTGTGGTCCCAGAAGGTTCTGGCAAGGCCCCGGTGTGTGCTGACTCCTGAAACCTGCAGGCCCCTGCTCTCCCGGTCTGACAAGGAAACGCTTTCCCCAGGAGAAGGGCACACCTGCAGCCACCCGCTGTCCTCAGTGCTTGTTACTGAGTTGGCCAAACGACTTGCAAAACACGCGTGGAGACAAGGGACATGTGGACAGGGACTCACTCCTTCCAGAGGCCACATTTAAAAACTGCCCTTCAATGCATGCAGCAGATGTCTCCCAAGCAGCTCCCTTACCGGATTGGACCAGGGTCAATAGAAGTGCCACCATCCATCCCTTTTACAGTTTTCAATATGGCAGTCCCCGGCCATTTTCTGTGGGTCTCAGGACTCTGGGAACCACCCCCCCTCCGCAGCTCGCCTCACTGGGCACCTTGGTTTTTAAGGGAATTGAGGGCCTGGCTCCTTTCTGGTCCCAGCCCATCTGCTCTTGGATCTTCTGCAACTGGAGAAATGGGAGGTTCCACCTGCATGGCTGGTGTGTCACCAGGAGCTGGACTGGGAGGGGCCCACATGCTGGAGAATTGAGAACTGAGAGAGCGAAAAGGATGGGGCGCCCGGGCACACTAACCCATGTTCTCTTCCACTGTCCAGACTTGGGATTTCAACTCCATCAAGAGCACAAAGAACATTTGTTTTCAAACAAAAATAGCCTTGTTTGTGCTGGGGGAAAATGGAAAATTCTAGTTTACATTAGACATGCTTCTGAAGACTCACATCCTCCTGAGTTTCTTTGTTGCAACACAGAGGGGGGCTTGGAGGGATGCCGAAGCTGGAAGCGAGGCCATTGGTAACCATGCTGGGGGCATGGGCAGGGGGTTGGGGGCATGTGCCACGCGTCCACTCCCTTGGACCCTGTCTGGAGTCTGAAATCTGGTGTGACCCTTTCTCCTCCTGAGCCACCTGCCATGCAGGATGTGGGAGAATGACTGTCTCCTTCCTCTTCCATTGGGATTTACCCAAGGGCAGCCCCAACACAGTGTATCCAGGCTCCCAGGACCCCCACAAGCCGGGCTCCCCCCATCTGCTCCTACCACCAAGACTCAGTCTGTGGTCCAGGTGTCTGTGTGTTGCCCCAGGTGCAAGCAGGGGACTAACAACTAAGACCAAGCCTTGGCCCTTGCTCAAAGCCCTAGGCTAGGCTTGCGGAGAGAACCTGGAGCCCACCAAGACTGCCTCGGCAGGAAATGAGGGAGGCAGGCGTCCGTGGGCTATGGGCAGGACCATCAGACATCTGCCATGGTCAAGCTCACACATGATGCCCACCGGCTGTGCAGGCATCACACACACCCAGCCTGTGCCTGGAGCAGCAGGGCTTACTGGGGCCTTGGTTGACGGGGATGAGGTGGGGGAGGAGAAGAGATCGCAGGCTCCTGGGCCACAGGAGGGGCCCTACTAAGGCCAGGCTGCTGTTGGGCCCATGAGGCCTGGGTTCCTGATTGTTTCGAGGTGTATCTCAGCAGTTTCATGAATTTGGGCATCTCAGTGGTCACAGGGCAGAGTACAGTCCCCCCTGCCTGGGTGCAGGAGTGGCATGTTTCAAACACAGCAAGTACAGTGACATTCGGGCCCTCTCCCAAGGACCCCTGATGCCGATGTTGGCTCCCTGTGCCTTTGCAAATGCTCAGTGCACACTGAGCCCACCCAGGCCACAGCCCACTCAGGTGCTTGCGGCCAGGGGTGCAAGAAGCAGCCTTGAGACCCTGCCTTTGGGTTTACATTTGCTTTTCCTTTGAAACTCCACCATCAAGGGCTGAGCAGGGGGTACAGGGCTATGGCCGGTCTGCTTCTGTGCTGTTCTGGACCGGGTTTTGCCAGGGGATGAGACCCGGGTTCCTGTGTGGACAGGAGCCCTCAGAAAGAGAGCCCCATCCAAGGACTGGGGGGATCCCCTGATGCAAAGCCTCCCCTGTCCCCAGGAGCCTGGGGCTGTGCACCCAGCAGGAGTGGTTTCGGGGTGACAGGCAGCCACCTTTCTGCAGCTGGCAGCAGCTGCTCAGTGGCCTCCATCCTGGCTCTCTCCCAGCCCCGAGCGAGGCCCATGCACTCACCGAGCTCGCCAGCAGCCTTGATGTCCACATTGTCGTAGCCACTGCCGATGCGTACGATCACTCTCAGGGCCTTGAACTTCTCCAGGTCCTCACGGGTGAGGGTGATGGTGTGGTACATCATGGCGCCCACAGCCTCGTTTAGCACCTGTGGCGGTGGGGAAACAGTGCACAGGCTGGAGCTGCCCCGCTGCCCCGCACACCCACAGGCCCCTGGCCCCGTCACCCCTGAACATGGAGCAGAGGACTTTGGTATGAAAATGACAAGTTGGAGATCTGGCTGTCGGGAGGCCTGCTGGTGACGAGCGGTGACATAATGGGGGGAGGGGGAGGCTGAGGAGGGACCCCTGTGAGGACGGCACCCGCTGCTGCTGCCTGGCTGGCTGGGACAAAGCGCGCAGGGCGGCCCACCTTCTCGTGGATCTCCTGCGTGGACTGCGCATCACAGAAAGCCACGGTGGCCAGGTCCTTCAGGATCGGCATCTCCACGGTGCAGTCTCTGCCGTCCAGCAGTGCCACCAGGGGGCGGGGGTGCAGGGGGCCGTTCATGATCTGGGGGCGGATACCTACAAGGAGGGAGAGAAGGCACGGTGGGTGCGCGGGCGAAGCAGCAGCCCGTAGGCCTNATGATCTGGGGGCGGATACCTACAAGGAGGGAGAGAAGGCACGGTGGGTGCGCGGGTGAAGCAGCAGCCCGTAGGCCTGTCCCCAGCTCTGTGGGGTCGGGGGGACACGCCCCATCATCATGCTGGGCCAAGGGCTCAGGTAGGAAGAAACCAGCACAGCAATGAGGGCCTGCAGCAGCTCCAGTGGACCACTGTCACCATCAGGAGCCCCCTTCATCACCAGAGGCACTGTCCACACTTGGGTCTGGTGAGTGACATCTGCCTGCCACCAAATCATGGCCAATGCCCAAAGACAAAGACCACAGGGCACCCGAGGCTGGAGTGGGTTCCTGCCTGTTGCACCCCCTGCCTGCACCAGCATAGCTGCCCCTCGACACAACCACGACAGGGAGATAAAGTGAAACAGGAGGGGGCACATGAAGGCCCCTGAGGGAACTTTCTGGACAAATCCCAGTGGAAACAGGCACTCCGGGCAGAGTCTCACAGCCCACTCACCTGTGCTAGGTGAGGACAGGAGGGTGGTCTGGGGTAGTGAAGGTGTGCCTGACAAGGGACCTATGGGGATGCGGGACAGCAAACTTCTTGAAGGGCCACAGAGCCAGCAGCGCTTGGCAGCTCCCTGGGCCAGTCAGACTGTCACAGTAATTCTGACAGACGTCCTGGTACTGCCTAACAGAGACAAAGGACAGCTGTCAGGGCAGAGGGGCACAATGCTGGGGCGCAGGAGCAGGGA